TTTCGTAGCGTCTGCGGCCCAGGGTTTAGTGTCAGCTCCTTCTGCTACTGCTGCTGCTACTACGGCTACTACTAGTCCTCCTACTACTACTACTACGACGACGACTACTACTACTAGTACTACTAGTACTACTAGTACTACTAGTACTACCACTACTCCTGCGTCTGCTGCTGCTACTACTACCGCTGCTGTTGCTGCCGCCGAAGACTGCGCTGACGACCACTGTTTGAGCGACTACTGCCACTGCCTCCTTGAAACTTCCACTACCAGATCCCGAAGGGATGCCCCTCTCGCGAGCTTTAGTATGGAACCGCACAGGATGCCATCAACAGCACCCCCGGTGTCCACGCTGGGAAGATCCTTCCGGCCTCTCTTCGCAACTTCGGGGTGGATAAGGGCACCTAAGAAGCTCCCTGTCACATTCCCTCAGGAGCTTTAAAGCGGAAGGACACAAGCCCTGACCCTGCAATCCCGAGCAGTCAGCAGCCGGTGGAGCTTTGTTCACGTCTTTGGCTGGGCGTCCTTCGCGAATGGAAGTATTGTTAGTTTCTTGAGCGTCCTGTTCCGAGTTCCGGAATTCATCCTGCTGGGTGAAGCATCGGTGAACTAGTATTTAGGGCATTTAAGGTTGCGAACGGGTCAATCTCGAGACACTACCGAAATGGGTTCATGGGCTGAAGGTCAAGCACTGAAGGGGTTTGGGTGTGAAATTGCCAAGACTCAAGACTAGACCAGGCACACCCAATCGGCATGAGAACAGCATCAACGGCAGGCAGTCGCGTCAATGATTCTCGTATACTAGCTTACACTCTGTTACGCTGCCTGTGCTGCTGTAGTTGGCTGAGCGAGAAAAATCGAGAATCAAGACATTGAACCCTGGACCTTGCACGATGGGCTCCAAGAGCCGTACCAAGGACAACGCCAATGAGCAGTTCCATGCCTTCCTTTCGCTGTCCGGTGAGCAGATGCTGCGGCGCATTTGCATGTATGGTTTGAGGCTGCGAGGAGTTTGAGTTTCGGATTTACAGTAGTTAGAGGCAGTTAGAGTCGAAGCCCAGCCCAGGAGGCCGGACCGTGTGCTGGACGCCGTGAGGCAAAAGCTGCCGCCAAAGGTGCAGGCGGAGGGAAAGGAGGGCCATTGACATGCGCAGGATACTTGCTGAACGGCTGTTTCGCTTTGCACCGAGGGGTGAACGCATGGCTTGGATCCTTCCAAGTTTCTTCTTCCTACTCGGGTTTGAGTGTCTCCGAAGGAGCCTTGCCCGCCTTTGCGAAAGTAAGAGTCTAAACCGCCTGCAGTTGTGGCTGGTGTCCGACCTTCCCCGCCATCCGGTCACTCGTGGCTCGCTCAAACATTGGCGTTGCGGTGTGTGGTTCCACGTGTTTTACCGTGTATTTGAAGCTTTCGCTGCCTAGGAGCAGCAGAACGCTTCGTCTCTTCAGAATTCCTGCCCGAAGCAGCACGTCTCATCTTCTGTCAGGTAAAATAGACCTGGCGAGACTGTATCGCGTCATCCAGGCAGGAGCGGCATTTCGCGCCTTTGTTGTCTTTGTTGACTCGAACCTTGGGTTGGATCGAGCTGCGACCCTGCCTGGTACCATGCTTTGGGGACTGCTCGGTTTGTGGTTGCGTTGAAATCGATGGGGTTTTAATCCACATTGACGTATTCTCTTTCTTTCTCTCTTTATTTTCTGTTCTTCTCTGTCCCCCTATCTTCTGTCGAACTCCCTACTCAGCCCTACTCTCAACATACAGCTACCTCTCTGTGTCTCTCGCTGCGCTTCTGCCTCGGGAATGCCAAGTCGTGAGGCTCCGCCAGCCTCGTGGCCCCTTGAGAACTGCGAGCCGACTCCAATGCGACCTGGACTGGGTTGACTTCGAGGAACGGGCTACGGTTCAGGCATCTCGAGGTGTGGGCGTTCGGGGTTTAGGGTCGGGTGGGCTGAAGCGGAGGTTCGGAGAGGTTGACAGGGTCTGGCGGTGAATAGCACACATTGAATAGCATAGCATAGGCGTGTTTGCACAAGCGCAGAGGTCCTGTACACACACACACACGTATGTGTCATTCTTGAACCTGCTGCTGTTGTTGTTGTTGTTGGTGGTGGTGGTGGTGGTGTTGTTGGTGTTGTTGGTGTTGTTGGTGCTGTTGGTGTTGTTGGTGTTGGTGTTGGTGTTGTTGTTGTTGTTGTTGTGGTTGTGGTTGTTGGTGTTGTTGGTGTTGTTGGTGTAGTTGGTGTTGTTGGTGTTGTTGGTGTTGTTGGTGTTGGTGTTGGTGTTGGTGTTGGTGTTGGTGTTGGTGTTGGTGTTGTTGTTGTTGTTGTTGGTTGTTGCTGCTGCTGCTGCTGCAGCTGCTGCTACTGCTGCTGCTGCTGCTGCTGCTTACTTTTTCTGCGGCCAGCATTATCCACATCATTATCAGAAGTACTATCAGAATGACTAGAACTTGGTGGCTACAGCTACTGCCAGCTTCGTGCAAAGGTACAGGTCGAGACTCCACGAGACGCTCCATAGCCAGGCCCGCCCTGCATCGGCAGATCACCTGCGACACCGTATGATGTAGTTTGTAGCATAGTCACAGCATCGTTAGTGTATGGCTGTAATGTAGCCGCATTGTAGTTATAACGTAGGTCTCGCGGCCTCAGTGTACACATTGAAGGCTTAATGGTACCCGAGGCTCCGAGCTTTGTCAGGCCTATGGGTGCGATTTTTGGTTTCGGTCCTAGGTTTCTGCGGGCCGGAAACTGAAAAACAGGAAGCACTCGACTGCACTGTTGCCATCATACGGAGAAGCATTGCAATTGGCAAAGTGCCGAAGCTGATACTGACAGAGGGTGTCCAGGTCAAAGTTTTGGCACCTGCCAGCAAACTTGTGTCTCAAGGGCTCAATTTTCCGATTTCGGCCGAGCCTAGACCCTAACCCTAACCCTGTAGGCTCAACCCGAGCCTTGTCTGCCTTTTGTGAGACTGAGAGTCGAAATCAAAAATCAATCCGTGCCTGCCCCGTGCCAGCGTGCGAGTCGAAAGCCTAACCCAAGAAGATCGGAGCTTGCAGGTGTTGTGGACCATGGTGGCAGTGGGCACATCCTGCGTCTGTGGCTGCCCCACAGGCCGGTTGCGAGAAATGCAGCCCGACGTAGGGAACGTTTGAGAGTGCTTGAAGGGTTCCTTTAAACGATTCAGAAGGGGCACCAGGGTTTTAGGATGTAGTTACCACGGGGTACTACCGGGGTTTCAGGATTTAGGTCATTCAGGCTCTCGGCGTCTTTTGTTCTTCAGAGTACCCGGCAGTTACAATAGGCCTGGATGCAAAGGTCATTCAGGTGTTTGATTAATCGGATAGAGTCATAGTATGCGAAGCCCTGTTCCGATTATGAAAACCCTTAGATGAGGCTAGTGATGTGAGTGGCTCAGTTCGTGTGTGTATACATCCAAGGTAATCCAAGGTATACATCTGTGGCCGTTGCGTAGTGGCTTGTGTGAGTATCAATGCAACAGACAACAGCATTTTTCGTTGCAGCCACGTTCTAGAATTGTCGTTTTTAAAGGTATTCCAGATCACCAGGGCGTGTCTTGATCGCTAACGCCCACCTTCGCATTCCTTTTGCTAGTGTGACCGTTTCCATTGTTGCTACTATTGCACGCTTGCTACGGTTGTAATTCGTGCCAGTGTTGTTTTCACGCATGTCACGGTTGCTGCACTTTTGCAGCTGCTACCGTTCATCGTGGTCTTCTTTTGTGCTTTCGGGATCTTTCTGGCATTATTTTGGTGTTGTTGGTTGTTCCTTGTCTGTCTTCTTATCGTCATTCTTTTATGCTCGTATGCAGATCGCCGCGTGACCTGAGGGGAGATGGACCTGAGCTGAGGCCCTGACCCGGAAAGATGTCCGAAGCCATCCCCACAACTGAAAGAAGAGCAGTTGGATTAGGCCGAATCACCTACAGTCGTTTGATGCATTCTGGATTCCTGGTTCTGAACCCCTAAGCTGTCTGAAGCTGCATGGGCAGGCGATTTGCCTCGACAGTTGGGTCTCACAGCAGCATGGTTCGGGGCCCGGACGGTGCATGTCAGGGCGTGCCGTGGTGCTGATGATTTCAGATTCTCACGCAGCTCCATAGCAACGTCTCGAACACACGTCTTGCGCAGCTATTGTAGGTTGGAGTCTGGAAGCAGATCTTGCCACGTGTCCAAGATCATTAGATGATATGGGCTGCCACGACGAACAGAAAGCAGTTAGACCGGACTCGAGCCAAGCAGGACTGGTGTGACCAGTGAGACTAATGACTAGTTTGGAGGCCCATGAAAGTGTGGACCTGCTCTCGCCGCACCGGTTACCATGTCTGAACCGGGTCAGGCTCGCCACCTTGCGCTTCTTGGCCGGCTTGCCAAAGACCGCGTGCCATGGCACATGAGATCCGGGAGCAGTCGAGGTCGGGAGTTGAGGTGAAGATTTATGTCAGAAAAATGAATGTGTTTATTGCATTCTGGCGACAACGGTGCAGGACGTTCTTGAAGATGACATACTGGCGTGAGCAGTAGTTGTATGCAACACAGTTATATCAATCTCATCTCAGTCCTGCTGTTCGAGCTGTCGTATGAAGTTTGGTACCAATGCTGTTGGCGTATATCTTGTACATTATCCAGCCAAAAAAGAATTATCAACATTTTCAGCAGATGACGACTGCCTTGACTCTGTTTTCGTGCGGCGCCACAGCCTTTTGGGCACGCGAATTCCCTTGGGGGCGCCTTCGGAAGTGCAAGTTACCTGTAGTTCGTAGGAAAGTGAGGTCTAGTAGCGATTTCGTGTCACTTCCCCCGTCAAGCGAAGGCTGAAGCCACAAGTTAAACTTCTTGATCTTCCTGGGACCCGAATGTAGAGCTCTTAAGTGTCTAAAAACACCTAGTAGTAGTCACACCAATAATAACACTAGTAGCACAACATAATCATAGTAAACATGCTAGCAATAAACAAACTGATCCTTAAAGGCCTTGTGGCCTGAGGCCGGTCCCGCGCATTGCAGCGACCGTGCTTTGGCTCCTCGCGCTGCCGCGCTGGAACAAGGCTGGTTAGAGTTTAGGGTTTAGGGGTTGGGAGTTTAGGGTTTAGGGTTTCGGTTTAGAGGGCCTTAGAGGATCCCCTGGTTGGGGCATTCCACGACAACGACGATTACTACTTTACGACGACGACTACTACCGCTACAACCTCGGCGCCGACTAACCTGCTACCACTACTCAAGTCTGATAGTCTCAAAATCTCAAACCCTGAAGCCTGAGCCCCTCCCCCCCCGCCTGCAAAAAAGTCGAAACCCCCTAAATTGAGAAAGGGACGATTCCGTTAACGACCATGTGTCATGGTCAAAGCGTTAATCTTCTTTGCTTGTCAACTCGTTGATGGTAAACCCTATTTGGAAACAAAGCACATGAAACAACAAAGTAGCGCGAACATCAACCTCGATGAAGCGTTGGCAAGCTCTACTTACGAGACAGACAACTACGCAGCCTAATTACACAAGCAGCGCTCACTGGCCTTCACCAAAATCACAAATGAAAGACGCCTGCACAGAAACCACGAATCCTAGCATATTGCAGGATTGTTGTGCACAGCTACCCTTGCTCAATTGGCGCTTGACGAGAGCTGTCAGCTGCCTCTTTTTTGCGTAAAGATCCTGTTCATCTGGCCTGCCGCCCCGACCTAGACCCTAAGCCCTAAAAGTTGAGGGTTAAAAAAAGTTGAGGGTTTAGTAAGGGTTTCAGAGCGGAGGGTTAAGGATCCTAAATCCTAGACGCTGAAAGCTGAGGGAATGCTGCTTCGGTGGCTCTGCTCGGCCTCGGCCCTGACCTTTAGCTTCCTTGCGCTAACCTACGCAGCACCCCGGCTGCTCCTCAGGGAGGTGTTGGGTGGAGCTTCAGGTTGTGGGTCTTGGGTTGAGGCTTTCCGGGTCTTGGGCTGAGGGGTCTAGGGGTATTGGGGAGGAGGGCTTGGGGCTTAGGGTCTGGAGTTGAGGGTTGAGGGCCTGGGATGTCTGGGGCTTTAGGGGCTCAAACCTTTACGTTCAGGGCTTAGCTATTCGGGTTGAGGCGTTGGGGTGAAAAGACAGAGCCCAGGCTAGATGCGAAATCCGATGGATGCTGATGGTGGTGATGACGGAGTTCTGTCTTCTGAAATAATTTCGAGCACGAGAGTGAGAGTCGAAGGCCTCCTTAAACTCGAACTCCTTTTCCCTTATCTCTACTCTGGAGAGCCCTCCTTCAACCCTAGTCCCCACAACCCTGTGCACCCTGAACATCCCTGAACCCCTCTGCTTTTTTTTCTCGTGCTGGCCGTTTCAAACAGCCTGAAGGCGCCGAAGCCTACGTACATCGTAAACTGTGTAAACCCGAGTCCACAAACCCCGCAACCCGATTCCTAAACCCTAGACTCCGAGACCCTAAGTACTGAAGGACGATGATCGGCAGCAGGGCCTGCCCATGGGAGTATGGATCTTCCGTTCCTTTGAGCTGTGTGAGCATTTTGAAACAAAGCATGCTCTAACTGGTGTTTTGCGTTTTAAGCTTGGGTTCAGGGCCCAGGTTCGAAGGACTAAGAGGATGGAAAACGCATGGATTTGGGTTCAGCTGAGCTAACGGTTCGAGTGTTTTTTTTGAGGGTTCCGCCGGCAAGTCGGCAAGGAACCCAGCCGGTGTCAGTGAAAACAGCGTGTGCGCCAAGGTAGCACTCAGTTTTTCCTGGCCGGTTGAGCCTTCTATATACTCCACAGCACAGGTTAGGATGCATTGTGAGTTTTTCCGAACTCCCACATGCACCTCCCGTTCGGCTGCACATTTTGTATAGACGTGCGGCTGGACTTGTTGTAGAGCTCCTTCAGTTCTGCTGCACGTAGTGACTAGCCAATATGGGCTCCTGGTGATACTTGTTCGTTAAGTGTTTACGCAGGCGCCTGGTGGTACAGGTCCCTTCTGAAGTTCTGAGGGCTTTGGTGAAGGCACATCCGGCATGTAATGACTTTTTATCAAGACGATGATAGCCAGACTTGTTTGGCAGGAGGGGCTTTGGATCTTGATTACCCCGATTCCACCAACTTGTGCCGAGGGATCGTTGATGAGCTTCCCCTCTGGAAGTTTGGCTTCTTCGTTTGGACTGCGCTGCTGCGGCATGTCTCCTACCCTGCATTCTGGAGGGTGCATGTAGGGCTCTTCTTCTTCTTCTTCTTGAAGCCGTCAGCCCAAGTGATATACCTGCTGTGGTTTGTCCCTATTTAGACTGACATGCGAGTCCGCGAGAGAGGAAAACAGAGGAAGAAGAAGAAGAAGAAGAACAGGCTGCTGTGCGCCGGTAGCAATCATTATCGTCACGGTCAGCCGCTTCTGAGCGAATTCAGAATGATTCGCATATTGGCTGCTGCTCAATTCTTCGGCATTCTGCTCTTCCCTCCTTGTACTGCTGCAGCTGCGCCTCCGCCACAAGAAACTCCTGCGACATTAGTGTTATTATTCTTAGTGTATTTCTTTTTAAATTCTTCTTCTTCTTCTTTATAAGATTTTTTTTGATTCTTCTGATTGTTGTTGCTGCTGCTCCTCGCCTTGCTCGTCATCAGAATTATCGACGACATGACGCAAATGGTTTGGAAGGCACCGGCGCCTTTGGGCTGGACAGCGGCTGCTGCGCTGGCAGCTGCCACAGCGCCACTTGTTACTATCACAGGTAGTGGTTACGATTTTGGGCGACAGAGATGGTTTGAAGATGAAGATGAGCTGGCCATCAAATTGTCATAAGCAGCGGGTAGTCACTGTCATTGTCGCGACGAAGCAATATGTTTGCCTTCTGGTGTTTCGTCGTCGTTGTGGCTGCAATCGTCGTAGTGGTCGTTGTCGTCACGGTGGCGGTTGTGGTAAGTCATATAGGGGCTCAACTTTTTACCTAAACTATTTTGGGGTTCTTTATTATGATTATAGTAGAATATACCCCAAGACCCTGTTCTATTTCGCAAGGCACCTACATTCGTAGTGCTTCGTCATCGTAGTCACCAGCACCTGATCGACGGACCTTTTGGTCATCTGGAGCCCTTAACTTGCTGGGCAGTGGAGCAGTAGGGATTAGGGTCTTGGGTGATCAAGGAGCGGAACAAGTAGATCTAGAAGCCTCACACAAAGATTGTAAAATGCCAATAGGAACCTGGAAAGGAATGTACCCTTAAAGTAATCGCAACCCCTGCAGTGAATTTACACATACGTTTTGAACATGTGCAGACATACATAAATATGTGAATCTGCAAATATATGAACATGCAACGTGAATTAAACAACAAAAAAACAGCTAGATAAAGGGATATAGCAACCCTTGTCGTAGCCCTTGTCGGAACCCTTAACGGTCCCGATCCCCTGTTTCGAGGACCGGCGCCATCTTGGCGGGCCGTCGGGGTCGTCTCGGTGCCTGGCCCGTGCTCTTTTGGAGCATAGGCCGGGATAGCGGCTACGGGTTTCTGTAAGGGTTGTAGTGAGCGGTTACGGTAAGGGTTTGATGCAAAGGAGGACTTAGGTGTGCGGAGCACCGGTCTAGGGTGGTTTTGCTGTTTTGAGGGTTTTCAGTCCCGGGCTTGGGCTTCGGGTTGAGGCCTGAATCACTTGAAGATTGCAGTGTGTCCAGTCTCACCAGTGAGTTTTTCCTGAAGGCATCGGCCACCAGCTCGAAATGGACATCCGCAGCTGGGTCTACCTGGCCACATGGCGTGTGGACCTCAGCCACGGGAACGCCAGACGGATGAGTTCTCGAGTCTTCTTCCCCCTTTGGAAACCCAAAGACCTTAATGTGGGAAATCATGAGTCTGGGAAGCGAGCATGAACCTTGGCCCAGCGATGCGAAGCTGCCTATTGATTGAGCCCGTTTAACCAGGTGACCACGCCAAAAAGATGCTGGGCCTCTGCCAGGACATTTGGGCTTTCTTCTAATTCTAGGGATCTATTCCTGGACGTAAACTGGCCCTACCATGGTGAAGCCACGAATCTGCACACCTGACATGCCTTATGTAGTGACGCCCATCGCGCGCGGTCGGGGGCGTGGTCTACTCGTGCCTGGCACTCGCTGCTTTGAGGTAAAGTGCACTTTTTGCTATATGAACCTTGAGCTACTCAACTCCATGCGTAAAAACACTTCCCCATGCCTTTTTCCCCGCCTTTTCCTTGTATACTCGTCCAACATATTACGTGTATATGGCCCAGTGCAGCCGGCTATTGCATACTGTTTAGTCTCAGTACAGGAGCAGAAGGATACAAGTCTACAAGTAACTTTCATAGTTTCAGTACACGAAGACTTATACTGCAAGTGCAAGGGCTCGGGTGGGATAGGCAGAGTCCGTCAGGGCTCACGTCAACCGTTCATCTCAAGGAGTGAGTGGAGGGCCGGCAAGAAGGGGAGAGAAAAGTCAGGGTTTGGCGGGTTCCAAGAAAGAGAGTCGCAAGACGGAATAGAGATCTCGGAGATGGAGAAATCAGTAGAAATCAGATCTTCGGGAATGTGCTTTGTGGCTGAAACTTGGGCCAGTCGTTGCGATTCCACTCAGCAGCTGAAGCTCTTTGCGAATCTGGAGTGCGCTTTCAATCTTCAAACTGCAACTCCAGGGCCATACGCTTTCTTGAGACTCCTCACCTAGCCACTTCCCGTGCATGCGAAGGAGCAGCTCATGCGCTTTTGGCCAGCACCTCCAGCATCCGAAGAGAAAGCGGAGGAAAAGCACCGCGGCTGAGAGAATTCGGCTTTGACACCTCGGGCCCTGAAGGCGTAGGGCTTGAGACTTGGGGAACGCTCGGACTTTCTGGCAGCAGGGCTCGGCAATCTTCTGATTTTGGGCTGCATGGCCGGATAGGGAACGTCAGACAAGTTTCAAGCAGCCCGGGAAGCACAGTAGGGCTGCCGCCGGTGGGGCAGGAATTGTGACAAGAGAGCCCTACACCTTAAACGCTGCAACCAACCTTCTCAAGGACCCTGCATCATACCGTAGGTTCGTCCTTGCAAGGCGGGAGGAGGGAAAAACCCAGATTCTGCACGTCAAAGCCCCAAACCCTCAAGCCTAAACCCCAAAAGTCCCAAACCCTAAACCCCAAACCTGAAACCCCTGGGAGGCAAAAAAACCCGAAACCCCCAAGCCCGAAACCCGAAATCCTAAGCTGTACACCAAACTGTCCCAGGCCCGCGGAGGCGGCGCAGGAGCCCGCGAAATGCATGGGCTGCGGACAGGAGGCTTTTGGAGGGTTTGAGAAGCTTTTGGAAGGGGGTTTAGGCCCTAGGGTTTACATAGGGTTTAGGGTTGATAGGGTTGCTATAGCGAGTGTCTTGTTATATAGGGGGTGTAGTAAGGGCCTCGAGAGGTGTTTTTGTCGTGCTTTAGGAGTTCGTAGGGTCTGACTTTTAGGATCTCACCGATAGTTAGTGTGTGTGTGTGTGTGTTTGTTTCCGACCAGCTGCTGCACGCAGTAGGTTTTCAGGGTTCCAAGTGTTTTTGCTTTCGAGTTGTCTGCTCGAGGTCGGGCGGTGGGCGCTGACCCTGCCTCGCCGGAAGGCCATCCAGAATCGGGTTATGAGCTCCGCCGTTGATTTGAGGCTTTCCAGTATCTCCGGTATCCTGTCTGGAATCCTACTTCGCCACCCTGGGCACGTCTGTGCAGCTTTCGAAGGGCACTTAGCCAGACTTAGTCACCTCTGTCGAAGAAGGCACAGGCACACGTTGGCAGATCGAACTTAGCCAAATAGCTTCTCCCTCAGGCCACTCAAGAGCTGCTGGAAACATGGTCCTTCACCTTAGCATGGGTTCCGAGAAGGGGGAACACCAGGTATAGTTTCCTTGCAGGGAACAACTCATAAAGTTTAAAGCCCATGAGCCACAAGCCCTCAACAACAACAACAACCAACAACAACAACAACAACAGCAACAACAACAACAACAACAACACCAAGAAGAAGAACACGAAGAAGAAGAAGAAGAAGAACAGCAGCAGCAGCAACAACAACAACAACAACAACGACGACAACGACAACGCCAACGCCAACGCCAACGCCAACAACGCCAACAACAACAACAACAACAACCACAACCACAACCACAACCGCAACCGCAACGACAACGACAACGACAACGACGACGACAACGACAACAACAACAACAACAACAAAAACAATGCACCCCTAAACCCGAAGCACTACACCCAAAAACCTTAAACTCCCTGAGCACCAAAACGCTAAGTGCCATGCGCCTTAAAGCCTCTCACTTCTCAGCATCCCCGCTCAGATCCTCTGCGAGAGCTGCACACAGAGCCTCTCTGCGACTGCAGAGGCGAACGTGGCCGCCTTTGTGGAAGGACGGGGAAAGCTTCGTCAAAAACTACAGGTTGTGGTTTGGGAGTTGAGTCTTTACGATTGTCAGAATCTGGGTTTTCATGCAATGGGCCTTATCCTGGGACACTTGTTTGTCTGAACTGAAACTCCCAAGCTGTCCTAAAGTGGCCTTGATGCTGTCCTGAACCCCAATAACCTCGCCCCTGAGCCTGAATTAGTTTCCGAAACCCTTGAACCTGGTCCCAGAACACCGTTCTCTCCAGCTTAATCCCGCCTAGCTAGGGAGGCAGAAAAGACCTTGGGACGTCCGGGAAGGTGCATCGCCGGGCCTCGCCGAGCCCTTAGCTAAACGCCCACGCCTGGATCCTGGGGCCGGCGGAGAGGCATCGCAGGGGTGGAGATTATTCAGAGCTTCAAGACCGAAAGACTAGCCTGCCATGATAAATCTCTAGAAAAGAAGTGAAGAGACTTTGGCCCCTCAGACAGTTGCAACGTTTTGCTATTCGTCTCGTGCATCCGATGCTATTGTTTGCCGCTGATGCTTTCATTGGCGGTCTCTTTGTTCCAGCTTGTGATCGTGTGGCTTGTGCAGACGCCACTCTGCCAGTGTGCTGACATTAAGATCGGCCTGTAAAAGACCGTGACTGCCACAGGTGGTTTTGAACAGTTACCGGTATGGTGGGTGCCGCAGGTGTTGCAGGGTGCTGCTTCGATCGTCTCTTCTATTTCATGACGACAACTTGTAAGAGGGGGCTGCTTGACTGACCCAAAAAGGTGATGGATTGAGTTTTGCACAGGTAAGTCACAGGCCACCTGTCCTAAATCAAAACCATGGCTGCTGCGCTGCTGCAAACCGGGCCGCACTGCTTCAGGTGTCGTACCTGCAGCGGCTGAATGCGCTACCTGGAAAGCAGGGGTTGAGGCTGTGAGCCAAGGATTCAGTGGTTTGTCTTTGGTGGTTTTTCCTTGTCAAGTCCGGCGCAGGGATGGGAATGTCGATGAACCGATGAATTCCGCAGGCCGTAGACGGTACGCCGCGGAGTTCATAGCTTCTCAGGGTTTGGCTCTCCGGGGTTTACTGAACAAGGCAGCCTGAACAAACATCTGCCATCGTCCAGTTCGAAAATTCATGCACCCGTTAGATCCCATTGACACCTTGGAGCGGCTTCGGACGTTGTGGAGTTTCCGCTCGCACAATTCAGGAAGACTTCGACATCTCGACCCTAAACTTCGAAACCCTGTTTTGGACGCTGTATGCCATGCCAGCCTTGTGCGAGTATGCGAGTCGAAACCCTGTTGTTGCTGACTCCCTCTCGCAGTGCCGGCACCCAGGGCCAAGGGGCAATCGTCCGTTTCTGGCGATCTGGTCGACGGCGTCCAGCGGTGGCCTCTCCGGCTGCACCTTTACGATTGAAGAACTGACCTCTGCAATCGCAGATACATCAGATGTGTGGCCCGTTAGCACAGGGTCCCTATGCAGCTGGGCTCGTTCATTACGGAGTTTGGGGATGCAAAATGTTCCTGAATTCTCCAATGCCAATGCCGCATCGCGAAGCAGAAAGGTTTATGCTTTTGAAATCCTGCATGACCCCTTTTTGGCTGTGTTTGGATGGCCGTAGTTTCAGGTTTGCGCATCACAGGTGACGAAGCCATGCGTTGAACAAAGCCCATGTCGCTTCCCCAGCAATCACAGGTGGTGGTACCATCACGTGTGCGACGAAATTCACGACCTCCCCACACCGATCGGTGGCATGCTCAGGGGAGGTTGGAGTGACAGCCTGCTGCAAGACACCCCCCGCCAATTTCAGGAATCCCATCCTTCACCTGGCTGCTCTGCGTGCACGGACAGCACATAGGAATGCATGAAGGCCACAATGACATAATGACATGCGCCGAAAGCCAGCGACTTGCAGGCCCTTCGAGACAATAGGTGGCTCGGAACAATTTATAGATAGTATCCCCTCATCATTTGATTGCATAGAACTATCACCAAAACCCTATTCAAACTGATAAAGTCCTTATATTGGCAAAATGGATCCTCCCAGACTGCTGCAGGTTGGGAGGAGGATGCAGAGCAGTCACCGGACAAGCTCTCAGTCGATGCGGTTTAGGGTTCAGGGTTTGGAGGTCCCCGCGAGTGTTTTTGAGAATGTCTAAGCCCAGTGTGAGATTGCTTGAGGCTGAAGTACAGCAGGAGATGTTTTTGCAAGTGCTGGCAGGATCAAGCTGAGAATCTGAAGTCTGCATGGAGTCGCTAGTCATTCCAATCCAACCACGAGAAAGTGCTGCCAGATCCCAAGCCCAAATCCAACCTGCATCATCGACCTTTGCTCCTGCCTCCCGAGATACGAAGGCACAGTAACTCCGAGAGCAGATGGCGCCACACTTTGAATCCTCACTGCCCAAACGTAGAAGTCCCTGAGCTCACCCCGGGTTCAAGCCCCAAGTCAGCCGTTTATGAACTCGCCGTCGGCCTTCGCCACCGAGCAGCATTCCATCGGCCCAATTCCTGAATGAAATCTCAAGCCAACACGAAGACCACCCAGAGAGGCCGAACATCCCTCATCAAGATCTCGCTTGCCTCCATTCCATAAGCCCACAAGGCAGAAGCTCGTTGCCCATGCCCCAGCCTCTGAATCTCCCACCTTGAGAGCTTGGCCTCTCCAAGGATCCGAACCCCAACCTCAGCGCGGAGGCACAGCGCCTGTTTAAGGCATCCAGGCAGCCTTTATGGGGTTCTTTAGTGTTAAATTCAAGCATCTTCAACATTTTTCTTAATTGCTCGACAACCCTTTTCGAAGTATGGCCCATGCATTCTGGCTGTATCTGACTGCGAGGTCGTGAAGAAAGGATCCTTTGTTTTTTATTCCGGCTGGATTCGGTTCGTCAGTAAGGTGAATCGGGAATCGTGTCGTGGGCTGTGTGTTGTTGACAGCCCGCCCTCTGGGGCTTGCAAAGCGGAATCGCAGAGTGTCTGCATCGTCGAGCTTGAGCCACCCCCAAAGAGCTCCTACGCATGGACTGCCCCGACAGCAAAACCTATACCCTAAGCCCGAAAGCACACAACGAGAAGTGTGCCGAAGCCCGTAAACCGTAAGCCCTAGACCCGAAGTTCGGAACTGCGCGCGAGTGTGTGAGTCGAAACCCGAAATCCTTAGCCTAACGCTAGGCCCTAAAGCCCTGAACTCTATAGAGCGCATACCCCCAAACAGCCGGAAGCCCAGCTAAACCCTGGAGCCCCAGACGCGTATTGACCGTATTGACAAGTCAGGTTTTTGCTTTGAGCTTGTTCTGGGTTTCGGGCTTAGGGATTTGGGGGCTTACGGTTTCAGGTTTTGAAAGTTTAGGACTTAGGGCCTTGGCCCCCAACTCGTGTTCTCCCCGGCCATGGATGCGCCTTGCGACGCTTCCGCTTGCACACCGCGCGTGAAGCCCAGAGTGGGTACGGCCTCGTTACATTGAGGTTTCGACTTCGGCACCGGAGCCCCCATACTAAGTTGCGTCGCCCGTCTTCATGTTGATAATCTAAATACGGACCAGACCCACCCAAACCGGCTTCGCACTGTTTCGACTCTTGCTTCAGACTTTGGGGCTTGATGCTTTTGGTTCAAGCTTTTGCAGCATGCCTGCATCTACCTGGGGAAGTCTTTGAGCCTCTATCTAGGTAGGAGTAAACTTCGGTGCTCCTTTCTTTTCTTGGCTTAAGATCCTCCGACTGACTGGTATTGAAAGATCCCCGTTTCCATGGTTATGTATTCTGTGGACTGCTGCTGGGCCTTTTCGGTTGAGAGGGTGCTGGTCATTTGTAAGGTCAAACCGGCAGAATAACAGTACAGCCAATATACTCCTAAATTCCCTAGACTCTCAACTCTGGAGTGCGCGTGCATCTTGGTTTCGCCAGTGGTTAGGAGTTTCGCTGGCCCAGGTCGGGGCCAAAAGCCAGCCCGGTGCATGGCCATCAATGCTCCTCGGCGAATTCGAGCGAACACGCATCTTTCGGGTAAGCAGTGAAGTAGTGAAGAAGTAGTCGAACGCCGGGTTGACAAGATATAGCAAATACTGAGCCGCTTGAATGCCAGTGTGGCCGTCAGTAAGGGCCTGGATTTGGTCTGTGAGCCTAAACATCGGATGGTATCAGAGAGCACAACACCCCTCGCTTAAACAATGGAGATCACGGCAGGAAGAACACGAACCTTCTTCACTTCAGGAGATATTACTACTACCTTGCTCTTGTGCTCCCTGGCTTTGCGCCAGAAGGGCTTAAAAGATCCCGTTCGCCAGAGACCGGCCACTCCAGGACGATGCTTCGGACAGGGGTGACTCTCAGGGTGGACCGATTCAGGAGTCAGGAGGGGCTTTCGCTTTTAGGATCTTTTATTGGAGTCCTTGGAGTCTCTCAGATGCACAAAATATGGCTTTGGGCTTCAGACGGTTTAGGGTTTAGGGTTCAGGGTTACTTCAGAGAGACCTCGTTCAAAAACGGGTTCAGGGTTCAGAGTTCAGTGTCGTGCAAGGGGAGAGCTCCAGCAAGGTTTTGTCACTCGCGGGCGAGGCGATCGCCCGAGTGTCCGCGGCGCCTTGGCGTCATGGTCATGGGCCAGGCTGCTGTAGTTAACTAGTTACTAGTTGGTACTGTACCGCTCCTCCAAGAGGGATTAGACTATGACATGCCCCAAACCCAACAGTGTACGCCAAGTGTGAGGAAGTGAGCAAGCAGTCACACAAGCAGAGCGTGGATATAGGCTCTATTGGGGAGAACAGGTCGATGCCGTATGTAGGACTTGCGAGTTGCGAGATTTGTGGATGAAGCTCGCGTCCGATGTTCAAAGATGCATACGCCAAGATGTGCCCGCACTGTCATTTAAGGACCCGCTTTGCAGCGTGCCGTGGCATGATCATGGCTTGGGCTTGAAGGTTTTGAAACGAGATACTCGCAGGAAAGCAAGTAGAGCTCCTGAAGGGCTCTGCAAACGACAAGCCTGAATAGCAGACGGGACGCTCGCAGCTGTTGAGTTTCGGCTGTTGGCACAGCATGGATGTTCGGGCCTGTCCTCTGAAAGCCAAGAATATACACAGCCTAGCGGTGATGCCTCTTTGCAGCACCCAAAACCCCAAGCCTGCCAAGCCAAATTCCTGTGGGCCTCCGACTGGAAGGTACGGGAACTGAAGCAGCAGATCTGGGCGCTGGGTGGTCCGGAGGTGGCCGGTGGTGTGTCCGACGAAAAGACTTTCAAGTCAAGAGTGGCAGTGCCTGCGACTATGACGACTATCACCATAACAACTGTCTTCCAGCGGACAGCAGCGCAGCTCCCAGCATCATCACTGCCGTCATCGTCGCCTTTGCCATCACCTTTTCCCGACCGTAAGCATCACCCTCAAAAGG